CTTTCGAAATTTTCTTTGTCATTTTATCAAGCAAATTGCTACTTCCGTATCTGCTGAAACATCTGTCGGATCTTGTGTCTATACACTGGTAATTATGCGTTTTGGCCTATATGCAAATTGCAGAAACGCATATTGCGACGACCCTTTCGTGTGTATGTGGGTGTGAGTGTGTGTATATGTTTGTGTGCCTTTTCGTCCGGCCGGGTATTTCAACTCGGCAACCAAGCAAGCTCCGACGCCGAAATTTTGCGAGTGGATTCCCCGACCAAACGCCACTCCAGGACCGCGGTATCAATCTTCACACAAGTCTGGGCCCCGCGTACGAGATTTTGCGGGAAAAACGTTAACTCAGGAACGAGAAAAGATAGAAAGCTGAAATTTTGAGGTTATGTTCCCTGTCCACCTGTAACTCAAAAATATTAAATTCAGCCCCTAGGTATGCGTGGTTCCCGCGTACGGCCCCATAAAGGTTCCTGGTGCGAAAGTCGCTAACTTGCTATCGCAATATATCAAATAGTGATTAATGGTTTTTCGTTAAAAATAGATTAAAGACCAACTGCGTCACTATGACGCAATACCCCTGTCCTTGGTTCAAACTTTAATCCCCCCACCCTCACTGAACCTTCGAACTTTGTCCCCTGGGGTATAAAAGCACTCCTCACCATTACCGATTATCATTCCACCGACCTTCTCCACCGATCCTTTCTACAGACATTATTACCGATCTCCGCTGCGACTCACGGATATAGACCAATATTTCTATTCTGGGGAGCTTCGGCTCCCCAGAGCCTCACCTACCTTTGTATTTAACCTTTTTCACCGTACCATGTATAATAAACGTGTATATAGGACGAGGCGTGTCACTTATACACACATACGCACATGCACCTACTCACGGGGTACTCACTAGTCTAAATAAAACTACAATTAGGGTCGCGATATTGCAAACCAGAAAAATCTGGAGGTTGAAATTTGAAGGGAATGTTCCCAGCGCCCCCAGACATGCGTGGTTCTCAGTACGGCCCCGTGAAATTTTTTAGGGAGAAAACGGCTAACTTGGGAACAGGGAAGTTGGGAGGCTGAAATTTTAGGGGGATGTTCATAACCCATGTACAAATTAAAGATTTCAAACCGAGCCCCCAGGTATGCCTCTAGGTCACGTGCGGCCCCGTGAAGGTTCTGG